GAGGTGGCTGGGACTGGGCACAGAGCCTAAGGAGAAGCTGTCGGGTGAGGGTGGGCTGAGGCCGGGAGAGCAGAGAGAAAAGGAGAGAACAGGACACTGCCCTGCCAGGATCACTTGCTGGACAGAGATAAAGGTGTCCTCAGTCAGGCTTGGAGGCAGAGCCTGAGTAAGAGACTGAGAAACATGGTCCTCTGCTGGGCAGCATCAGCAGTTAGGGGATGGGCTGGTTAGAGAGTAGGTGTCTTAGAACTCCACTAGCCAAGCCATCCTGGTAGAGGGGGTTTTATTTTTATAACAACCCATTCAGAGACAATTCACATCCCACACTATGTAGCCATTTGTTTTATTTTAAAATTATTTAATTTTTCACTGTTTGGTTTTGAGATAGGGTCACACTAACTTGCTTGAACTCACTCTGTAGTCTAGGCAGGTCTTGAACTTCTGATCTTCATACTTTACATTCCAAATGAGAGAATTACAGGTGTGAGTCATCACTGGCCTTTTACGTGCATGTTTGGTTTGGTCTGGTTGGTTTCCCTTCTGTTGAGCCAGGGTCCTGCCACATATCCTAGGCTGGTACTATATGCGTTTGTGGTGTCTAGCTTCATAGTAGAATGTTTCCAGGGGTCATCTACGTTGTAATGTTATCAGAACTCCATTCTTACACCGATTATTTCCAGTGGTTAATAAATACATTTTAGAGTCCATTCAGTTGTGGGCTGTTTGTCTTTTTGGCTATAGTAAGTAATGCTAAGGACATTTGAGTTTTGTTTAAATATGCCTGTCAGTTCTCTTGGCATACTCAGTAGTAATATGTCTGGATTATGTAACTGATTACCTTTTGCTTTGTTTTATCGAGACAGGATTTCACTTTGTAGCCTAGGCCAGCCTCTAATAATTATGGCAGTCCTCCTGGCTGGGCCTCTGAAGAGCCTGGATTGTATCTAGCTATCACATCTGGCATTTGAGGACCTGCCAGGCTGGTCCTTCTAGAGTAGCACATCATCCTGGAGAGCCCACTGGTGTTGTGGGCTTCGGATCTGCATGCTGGCCAGTGTTTGCTCTTGTCTTTCTGACTGTAGCTTTCCTGATGAGTGGGAAGTGATAGAGACTGGGGTTGGGTTTTCTAGTGAACATCTTTGCATTGATTATTGTGTGTCTGTGTGTGCACGTTTGTCTTTGGAAATGGCTTGATCAGGTCATTCACCCTGCCCCAGTTTATTGGTGGAGGATATCCATGTGTGGAGGTCAGAAAACAACCTGTAGGAGTCAGTTCTTTCCTTTCACTATGTCAGGACCTCACACCGAGCCTTTACTGCCCTGTATTTTTTAACTGGTTTCTCTTTATTGTTGAATTATAAGAGTTGTTCCTATATTCTGGAGATATATACCTTAGGAGGTAGGATCTGTAAATATATTCTCCATCCCCTGGGTCGCCTTTCCACTTTTTTAAATAAAGACTTATTTATGTATGTGAGTACACCATCATTGTTTTCAGACACACCATAAAAGGGCATCAAATCTCATTACAGATGGTTGTGAGCCACCATGTGGTTGCTGGGTCCTTTGAAAGAGTGGTCAGTGCTCTTAACTGCTGAACCATCTCTCCAGCCTGCCTTTCCACTTTTTTGACAGTGTTCTTTGCAGCACAAAAGTTGATAGTTTGCTGAAGTTCCTAAGTCCAGATAATAGTTTCATCTGTCATGTATGTATGTATGAAATATATATGTGCAAGTATATGTGTGCGTGCCACATCTAAGGAAGCATTGCCTAGAACAGAGACATAGTGTATCAGCAGCTTGCCCATAAGATCACTTTTCCCAGTGACTGGTGTAGAACTTCCCTCTAAGAGGCATGGCAGCTGAGATTTGCAAGCTTAAGGTGACTGTGGAATTTGGTCTCCTTTCCCTCTGGTTGAGTGGCCTTAGGCCAGTCATTTCTTTAAGTCCATTCTCTTGTTTATAGTGACAGTGTTTGCTTTTCAACTTGCTTGTCTGTCACAGGTCATGAAAACAAAACTCCCACATCTAGCTCTGGCATGGTGGCGTACACCTTTAATCCCAGTATTTGGGACACAGGGGCAGGTAGATCTCCGAGTTGGAGGTCTGCCTGATCTACATACTGAGTGCCAGGACAGCCAGAGCTACTCAGAGACCCTGTCTTAAAAAACAGCAGCAAAAACCCCTCCATCACAAATAAACTCAAATGTACTCCATTGGCATCCATCTCTCCTTGCACCGTCATCTTCTAAGAGCCCTTCGGACAGACCAGGAGAAGGTCCAGGGTTTCCTGGCCTCAACGTTCATGAGGAGGAATTCCTTTGGAACATTGGATACTGGCTGCCTCCAGTGGCCCACAGACTTTGGGACTCAGGGCAGTGTCTCTGCTTGCATGTCTCCACAAACCTGAAGCAGCCAGTGTTGGCTCTAAGCCCATCCTTCCATGGTCAGCTCTAGCAGTTCTATTTTTGAACAAACCCACTGGTGTGAAATCTTCCCAGAGTCATGGAGAGGTAAACAAAGACGCCTCTGGGACTGTTTGCCAGCTCTTGTTTAAATTCAGAGGAAAACATGTTTTGCTTCTTACTGCCTAGACTTGGTGCCTTTGAATTCTTCCCTCCTGAGGGAGATGACCTGGAGATGAGGGATAGGTCTGGCTGGGCTGTGTCTCGATTTCTAAATCAAGCTGCTGAAAAGGGGCTGGCCCCAGGGACTGACCACAGGGTAGGGGCTGACTGATCCTGGCTTCTGAGTCACTAGCAGGAGCCTGAGCTTCCAGATTCTGTGGAGCCTGTGGGTATGGATGTTGTAAGCTGATAAGCTGAGCCTCAATGCTAAGTCAGACCTGGGTCTGCCAAGGGGCTGGGTGCTCCTGATCTGTGGAACCAGCTTCAGCCGTACTCTGGCCTTGATCCAGGCTCAAGGTCCTTGAAACCTTTATGTCAAGAATTGGCCCTAGCCAGCTTTTCTGAGCTCGGTGAGGGTAGGCACTCAGCTGCCATGTTTGGCCTGTACTGTTTAGCACAGTGATAAGGAATTGTGACTCTGCCATCAAAGCTGGAACAGGGCTTTGCTTTTGTGAAACCCACCATTCCTGAAGCCTGAAGGAGCGTGTCTGGCTCTGAAGAAACGTCTACAGTACATGACCGTGGGCTGCTTTGATGTTAACCCTCCCGACAGTTAACTCTGCTCCCATATCTTAGACAGAACCTGCAGCAGCCCAGGCAGCTGTTTATCCCACTTTCATCTGCCAAGTGATGAGGTACTGCAGGGCAGCAGGGTGCTTTAGGATGGCCATCTCCTGAGAGACTGGACTTCAGGAGACTGACTGGGAGGCTGGACAGGAAGGCTCTGGAAGGCCATGTGACAGTGAGGGAGAAGACCTGGTTAGAGCTTTGCTGTGAGGGAGGCTTCCTGCCAGGCTAGGCTTTGCTGGGACACATTGGGTACCTCCTTAGCTTCCTCTTACGGACTGGAAACCAAGGTCCAGAGAGGCACAGCCACACACATCCCCCAGTACTTGTTCCCCCCTAGCCTTTGTCACACTTCATTCACTTTGTGTCTTTTTGGCAAGAGGCTTGAAGAGATGAGGTGGAGTCCGGTGGTCTCTGAAGGACTCTTAAGTCTGGAGATAGTATTTCTAGCCTCAGTTCTTTGCCAACCAGCTGTCTGTCTCAAAGCAAAAAGGCTGGCTTCTCCCGGGCTTAGTGTGCATGGACTCCATGAAATGAGCCAAGGGGTAAGTGTGGAGAACACCTGAGAGCAGGCCTGCCCGGTGCCCTCTAGGAGGAGGTTGAGGCCTCTGGGGAAGTCTTTTTGCACCCCCCTCATCATCCCTGTGGTGTTTATGGTGTTTTCCTGGTTAATGGGTCTCGGTGGGTACGGGCTGTGGACAGAAGAGGGTAAATAGGCCTGGTTTATCTGTTCCCTGTATCCGTGACGCTGTTCTGTCCAGAGGAACCACCTCATAGCCAGAAGCTCCTTCAGTTCTTATCGAGAATTGGCTTTAAAGGAAGGCTCTCTCTCTGCCATAGGTGATAGTACTGTTCCTTGCAGATGGTGCAGGTCCTCACAAGGCGTGAGGCAGTGACAGAAGCCATCCTCTAGCTGCCAATCACCATTGCTGCTGAAAGCAGCTGGGACACGGAAGTGGGCCTTCCTACCGTGGCCTGGCCATCTGCTAAGGGTTAGCAGGGTGGAGAGCAGTGGTTTCTGAGGGAATCCCTAGCTGCTCTTCTGTAAGTAGCCCTTGTTCCTCTCCCTGTCTCCCTTCCCTCAGTGAGAACCCACTTCCCACAGTGGAGATTGCCATCCGAAATACCGGAGATGCTGACCAGTGGTGCCCCCTGCTGGAGACACTGACGGATGCTGAGATGGAGAAGAAGATCCGGGATCAAGACAGGAACACAAGGTATACACAGGCACCTATTCCCCCCTCATCCCCCACCCTCCCCAGCAGAGGCAGGATTATCCTCTCCCCAGGAACCTAGTTCAAGAGGCAGTTTCTGTGGAGATCAGGCCCCAGGGTACATTTTCTCAAATAAACAAAGGCAAGTCCTCAGGTCATTTCTGCTGTATCTCCTAGCAGGTTTCAGGGTTTCTACAGAGATAAGTGGGGTCCGTGCAGCTGACTGGCAAGGTCAAGAAAAGGCTGGATACTATTCCTGCTAGATCGGCCCCACACTTAGCTCCTCTAGGAAAATAACATACCCAGAAGGAAGACAGCCACCCCGAGCCGTGACCAGCCCCAACTGACCACCTATTTTCCTACTTCAGGCGAATGAGGCGTCTGGCCAACACCGCCCCAGCCTGGTGATGAAGTCATCCATGCTCGACCTCCATGGAGCATCTCAGAGGACTGCCTTTCCTTCCTCTGTGGAAAGAGAAAGGCAGAGGGACAGCTGGTGCCATCATGAGGACTGGGGTAGGGACCTTCCAGGTGCCTTCCTTCAGCACACATTCCATTTGCTAAACCCCAACACTGTCCCCCGGAGTCTAGAGTCGGGAAGCAGCCTCATTTGGGTTGTATTTTGTTTTTGTATAGGAGCCCCAGGCAGGGCTGGTAACAATTTTTAAATAAAAAGTAACATGTTCAATTTCCTTGGAGCAGTAGCATAAAACTGAGAGCCAGGAGTCCAGCCCGAGATAGAACCTGTGTGGATGGAGGGGTGTGTAGCCAGGTGGACGTGTCAATCCTTGTCTGTCCCGCCCTTTAGCTCTGAGTCTGCATAGCCAGCCACAAGGCCCCCAGAGCAGAGCCCAGTCATTGTTCTTTCTTGTGCCTTCCAGCTTCCCAGGGGCTCTCTGTGCTCAGCAGATCCTTGTAGAGGTTGACAGTGTCAGCTTCTCTGCTGGCCTTGGTCCCGATGCATCCAGACAGGCTGCTGCCACTGGAGGGACCGTGCTGCTCTAGAATGAATCCATCCTGGAGGACTTGGTCATGTGTGACAGCATCTGGACACATGATTAACATGCAAACAGAAGTCTTTGTCTTAGTTCTGGCAGCTCCAGAAAAAAGGTTAACTAAGTTCATCTCAACTGTGGCCTGGGCCAGCTTCTCCTTCCCAGCCTACTGTGAGGAACAGGGAAATAGCACGACAGCCATGTGCCATCCTTTTGAGTTTGCAGTGTGGAGAGAGGAGGTAGAGCCTCTTCCCCATCCCCCAAGCTGTGCCTGGGGTAAGCTCACTCCTCTGTCCACGGTTTGTGGTATAGAATGAACATGGGTCTGCACTACAGCAAACTCTGCTTGGCAAGTTGGATATACAGGCTGTGACTGAAGACAGTGACACTGGCAGCCCAGCTCCACACTGCAGCTACCCTCTCTCAGTGGGTCCGCCTAGGGAGTACCCTACTCCACCCACCCACCCCTCAGAACCTGCCAGTCTTAAAACCCTCCACTCCACACAGCAATGGCCACACCTGGTTTCACTACAAAATTGAGTCAGACTCAGTAGAAAACATTTTTGTTACCATAGAAATGACAGGCAATGGCTTGGGGAATTCCCATACTGTTGGGCATCCAGGAGTAAACCCCAGACGTGGGCCAGATGTAGAGCGACAAGGAAAGCTAGGTAGGCAAGCTCACACAGGCCTTCAGCTACAAGACAAATGGAATGTTCCAGAACTGCCTCTGCTGTACACGGCTACTACTTAAATAGAGCTCAAGGTCCTGGGCTCACTAGCATGGTCGAGGGCCAGACTTGTCCTCTGTGCCTGAGACTGTGGGGCCTTTGGGTCACCAGCTGGAGGTGAAGACTTGCTTTAAAATGAAGACAGGCTGGGCAGATGGCATCAGCCCGTAGGAGCCCCAGGCAGGCAGGATTCCTGTTGACTGGGACTGAGGTCTCCATCGCACTGGGAGCATAAAGATGATGAGAGCTGTGGGTCTGTAACTAGTTCAGAACTCAGCTAGGCATCTGTAGGCAGTCTTGGGCCTCTCTGGCCCCCCTGGCCTGTCATTCCGGCTGAGCAGAGATGGTACAGAGAAGGGGAGGGTATTGCTGGCTGAGGCACCGAGGCTGCTGGTAGGCCTTCCGATGGGCTACTCAGCTGGAGCTGAGGTGGAGGGAAGGAGAGCGTGCTGTTAGCAGCCTCCGGCTGGCCAGAGTGGGCTGACTGTCCAGGAGCTGCCATTAGGGCTCTGGCCGCTCTTCTGGAAGGGGCAGGTAATTGGGATCCTCCTGACGGTCATCCAGTAGCAGCTTCCTGTGAGGAGGGGACAGTTCTACTGAGCACTTCAGTAAACACAAGTCCCCCACTCCCATGGAGGAGGTAGATTGCCACCTAAGAACAAGTTGGGGAAACCTCGTCCAATACTCACAAAAAGCCGGGGGTCAGCAGCAATCTCTTGCCTCCAGGCTGGTTGGGAAAGACATCTTCTAGGAAGTAGTAGATGTGGCCCACAATGATCCCTGTGAGAGAGCCACAGGCTGGCAGAGGCCGCCTCACAGCCCAGTGTAACCCCAGGTACCAGAGCACAAGTGCTCTGCTATCTACCAGAATAAGATCAGAACTGGCTTAAAGGGGCCCAAAAGTGGACAGTCCCCGGGGAGGGGGAGGAGCTAGGAGCTTGAGAACACTGGGGGAGCGGGACCCAGGTTACAGGAAGCAGAAACTAACCACCCCCAGGCAGGACCAACTCGGTTCAGAAGGTCAACTGCAGATGCAAATCCTGTGGGCCAGCTGGACTGCTTGAGGGGCGCCAGTTAACAGAACAGAGGTTGGGATAAGATGAGGGGGTTGGGAGGTGCAGCGGGAGGGGATGTATGTGTGTTGCATTCCTTGATGGCAGCAGCCAGCTTGGAGTGAGTGGCAAGGGTGGGCAGGCTCACCTAGCAGGTCTGTGATAACCGAGTTGCCCAGCAGCAGCGAGAAGCCCATGAGGGCCCAGGGCAGAAATGGCGCCTGGAAGTTGAGTAAGCCAAAGAAGTTGACCCTCACATGAGGGCTGCGACGGCTCCATACATAGACCAGCATGGCCATGAGGGCCTGTCCCAGGAAAAACAGGCTGCCTAGGAATCCCAGCAGCTGGGTCAAGAGTCAAGGCTCCCTGGAGCAGTTTGCTGCCCACGGTGCCTCTGACCCTTTCCACGGGTTCCCTCAGATCCCTAGTCTACTCCAGGGATATGAGGACCCCTTTCTGTGGTTTCCGGGTACCCAGGCCCCTTCAATCCCCGTGCCTGCGCCTTTCTTCTGGCTCTTTGCATCCGTGTTTGGGAGCCTCGGTAGTCTGCCTGACTACCCTGTATCACCCTGTTGTGCTGCTCAGGGACATTGAAGATCTAGCTGGGACACCTAAGCTACATGGCTGCCAGGCTCTGAATGCCTGTCCCTCCTGGTCTGGGTCACGACAGATAAGAAAATGTCTCTTTGGCCCAATAATACTGAGCGTACAGAAGGATACAGTCATAAGAACACCACCGAAGAGAAACATGAAAACGAAGTCGGCCTTGCGGCCACGGAAAGAACCCTCCTCCAGCATGCGGCAGTAGCGGAACCTGCAACACTGGCATAGGAAGTGCCACGTCGACTGGGCCTCAGTTTCCCCGTTACTAGCCCAGCATAACCCCCACCAAGGCTCACCCCGACCCCCAACCCCCGCCAGGGTGGCCCAGGATACACGAAGAGCATGTTGAAAAAGAAGCCGAATCCTAGGGGCCCGAAGAAGAGGAAAGTCGTGATGAGCCTCCAGACCTGCAAGGAGGTGGGGGTGGCGGTGAGGCTCGGGGATGGAGGGCAGGGGTCTGGGTGCCAGGGGCCGGGGTGCCAGGGGCCGGGGTCAAGGCCGCCTCACCTGGAACTTCCGGAACACCAGGTGCGGGTTGAAGTAGAGCTGGAAGGGGCTGAGGAGCTCCAGCTGCTGTGGGACGGGGAGCGTGTAAGACCCCGGAAGCGGGCGACATCCCTAACCCCCTCCAGCAGGCCAGGGACTGTAACCATGGCGCCGCCACGCCCGCCCGGCCCGCTCACCACTGCGGCCGTGGTGAGGACGCAGGCCGCGGTGTAGGCTCGTGTCACCGCGGGCACCTGCAGGAAGCCCGCCGCCAGCCTCTGTCCAGCCATCGAAAACTCCTCGGCGCGCGCGCCGGCAAACCCGCGCTCTTTACCCGCCCCCAAGCCCCGCCTCGCTCTCTCGGGGCCAATCAGCCTCGGAGGAGCCGAGCCTGGGGGCTAGAAAGCCAATGGGAAGAGGAAGCGGGACGGCCAGGTGTAGCGAGGCGGCTAGCCAATGAGGAAGTCCCACGGTAGAGCACGTGGCGGTTGTTGTGGCTGCTATGGAGGCGTGGGAGGTTTTGTGGCCAATCAGAATTGGTCGTTTGACAGCATCTAGAGAAGAACCAATAGCAAGGACCCACGAGATCGCCACGGGGGCGGGGCTATGAAAAGGGGCACAAAGAGTGGAGAAAGGGGCGGGCCGAGATACAGAGTCGGCCTCAGGCCAGCCTCCGGTTTACTGGAGATATCCTGTAAAACTCCAGAGTCCAGCTATCATGTGCGGGCTCCAGTCGTGATCCTCCTGGGTGTATGGTGTGGGGAGGACCCGGCTGAGGGTTCTGAGCCATGCTGCAGCAAGTGGGCAGACTGGAGAGAGACTTGAAATTTGGTAGAAGAGAAAAACGCCATTAGTCAACCATTAATGAGGACCTACTGTGTGTCGAACATTCTGATAAATGCTGAGGATCCTGTAGTCAACAAAAGACACTGTCCATCATGGTCCAGACAGTTCAATAGAACAGCTCCTCGATGAAAAATAATGTCTGAGACGAACCTCCACGGTAAGTAAGAAGACCAGGGAAGCCTATATGAGGAGGTGACATTTAACTGTCACTCCTTAAAGATCCCTGTACTCACTAAAAGGTTATACAAACAAAACAGTAATGTATGCTGTCCGGGATATGGAAAAGTACGGTTTTTTTTCATGCCGTTTTTGTGGGGATTTAAAATGGCTCATCCACTATTGGGAACAGTAAAGGTGATACTCAAATGTGTAAAGTAAGCCGACCACTGGGTGTGATGGAGCTCGCCTCCATCCCCAACACTCCAAAGGCAGAGGCAGGCAGACCTCTGAGAGTCCGAGGCCAGTCTTGTCAACAGAGACAGTTCCAGGCCAGCTAGGATTACGTAGTGAAACCCCATCTCTAAAAAAATAAATATACAATTATCAGATGTTCCTAAAATCCTAGTACGAGGAAATTGGAAGCAGAAGAGTGAGTTCTGGTCATGACACCTGAGCTACATGACAAAACACTAGCTCAGAAAACTAAAATACTGATTTCATTTTATTCAAATAAAACAAAACATAGAATTACCATATACCTCTTAGCAAGTCTACCCAGAAGAATTTAAAGAGATACCTTTGCCAGGCATGGTGTCATATATCTTTAATATATCTTTAAGCCCAAAACACGGGAGGCAGAGGCAGTAGAAGCTAAAAAAAAAAAAAAAGGCATGAGGCAGAGGCAGGTGATCTCTGAGTTCAAGGCCAGCCTGGTCTACACAGAGAAACCCTGTCTTGTGGGGAAAAAAAATTGCATTAATTAAATTACCATACAAAATAATGAATTTCACTGTGGATGTCCCATGCATATATGTCACTGTGCTTTTTTCTCATTTATACACTCATAGAATTATTTACAATGGTGAAAGAGGTAAAGCAGTACCCTTTGACAGATGAATGCAGACACAAAATGAAGTGGAATATTATACAGCCCTGAAGGAAGGAAATGCTGACCCAGCCTCCAACACTGATGAAACATAAAGGCAGCTTGTTATGTGAAATGGAACCATTAAAAAGACAAGTACTGCAGCCCACCTACTTAGGAAGGGAAACAGAGTTACTGCTTAGTGGCTGCAGAGCTTTCGCTTAGAAAATGGCAAGTTGTATAGAAGGAGGGATGGTGATGGCGGCACAAACCACGAGAGGGCCCACAAACTATCTGCTTGTACATGATCGGGCAAGATTTCACAATGATCATATTTTATCGCTATCTTTGACTTTTGTTTGTCTGTTGAGATGAACACTGGATTCACACAGGTGGCCCTGAACTCACAAACCTGCCTGATACTCGAGGTGCCGGGATTACAGGCGGCACGTGCTGCTAAGCCTAGTCGTTTTATTTTTATATATGTTATGATGCTAGCGATGGAACCCAGAATCCTGCACACGCTAGGCAGACAGCCTGTCATTGAGCCACACCCCCAGCCACCCTGCTTCTTAAAAAGAAATCTCCGAGAGCAGCGGCTGTCTACCACGGTGAAGCATCGTCATGACCAGGCCATTGCCCACACAAACTAACGGATGTGTAGATGAGGGAAGGGCTCGTGTTGTCCCACCCAAGTCTGAGTGACTTCTGGGAAGAGAGATTTAAGTTTTCTTCAGTGATGCAACTCTTGAAAAACCTACCCACACTACAGGAGATGATCCTACACTCATATACATCCAGGCAACATTAAGTGGACTCCTCAGTGGGTTGAGAGAGAGAGAGAGAGAGAGAGAGAGAGAGAGAGAGAGAGAGAGAGAGAGAAAGAGAGAGAGAGAAAGAGAGAGAAAGAGAATGAGAACTCATATAAAGGAGGAAAAGTAAAGGGAATTGGAGGGGAAGGGAGGGAATAGGGTGTAGAGTATAAAAAGCACATATACAGGTATGAAATTATGAAAATCAAAATGTGTCTAAGGGCAAAAGCTGGGCAAAGTAATCACCGGCTTGGGTGGGTGGAGTCTGGAGGTCCAGGGGGGTGAAGTGCTTTTCCCCCATAAACTGAACATGGCTGTGAGAGAGGGGTCAAGGGTTATTGAGAGGTCTGAGCATGGAGAATGGATAGCATTACCTGTGGCAGAGATGGAGAACACTGGAGAGAAGGCAGGAGGCAGAGTCTTGCTCTGGTCTTAGTTGATATGGGGGCATCTACCTGACACCTGCTTGGACAAATCACCGAGTGTGATATCGGAAGAGAGGTATGACCAAATGTCAGTCATCAGTAAATCAATGACTTTTGTAGCCTGGGCCTGTGAGAGATTATAGGAAGTGGAGAAACCCTGGGTGAGAGAAGTCTTGAGTTAAGGTGTGTTGTTGGCAAGGGTACAGCCATATTGAGGCCTCCAAAGCCTCCGACCATGGGACAATTTGGCAAGGCCATTTGGCAAAACTTTCCCCTGAAAACTAAGAATATGAGTGTTTATGACCAGTTGATCAGTGTGTGGAAAGACTAGAAACTACGGCTTCCTCCTCTCCCAGATGTTTCCAGCCTAAGACAGAGAACAAGTCAGAAACCAGGAGGCCAAGAGGGGAGAGGTCCAGGAGCTAAGCCAGGAGAGGATTTCAAGACAAAGAAAGGCAGTGAGCAGCCCAGGTAGGGTGGCCTGGGAAGAGACAGATGACCAGGCAGGAGGAAAAGGAAAATGCCCAGATATGCCCTTGTCAGCATGAGGAGCCCAGCTTTGGACACCAGTGTGGAAGATGAGGTAAGTTCAGAACAGAGCCCTGAGGTTCCCTGAGGATATGATCTGGCCCAGAGAGAAACTGGTTCAGGTTGTCTCAGGTAAATGCCAAGAGCAAGGGTTCCACAGGGACGAGGGCCATCTGCAGGAACAGGTACCTGATTGCGGAGAACAGGACACACCGAAGTGGACACGCCCTCCTGGGGGCGTGGCGAATAAGTCCCTCCTTAGCACTCCTTATACAGCAGGAGTTGGACCAAAGCGCTTTTGCTACACAGGCCAGACGGAACAGATCCCTCCCTCACAGGCAGAGGCAGCCATGTGCCGCAGACTCCACAGCCTACGGCAGGGCCAGCTCCATTTAGTAAAGGAGCCGTGGAGGGAGGTCTGGAAGGAGCTCAGGTTTCATGCCAGTGTAGAAGGAGGAATTCCCTCTGCAGTAATTGGCCACCCCATCCTCAGGGTCAAGGGAGGGCTAATGGGAGGGACTGTTGTTGTCACCCGGGAGGCAAAGGATGTCTGTCTGTCTCCCCTGAGATTAGGGGCTGATAAGGCAGGTGCCTGCATTGAGGACCTGAGAAGCACTTTCTAGGAGTCTGAAGCCCAGGGATGATACAAGCAGTCTGTCTGGAGGAAGGGACGGGCCTGCCAGGAGAACAGCCACAGAAGATGCTCCCTGCTCAGAGTCTGCAGTTAGGGGAACTGAAGTCGGGTGGAAAGCATAGTGGGGGCCAGTCCTCCTCCCTTGGACTGGTCAAAGCGGACACCTCTGGTCCATTCAGTAACTCTCTACTTAGAGAGCTATTGCAGTTGGGGGGAAAGTTCTGGAAACGGGAGTTCTAGGGGCCTAGAGACAAGCAGTGCTGGGTACTGTTTGCCTGGGCTGCCCTCAAACTCCTGGTTTCAAACCAGCCACTACTTCATCTGCCTTCCAAATCGATATGCAAACAAAGGGCCACTCATCCTAGAGGTCCTGTGAAGAGACAGGGAGGTGGTACCCTCTCCTAGAGGTCTTTCCTGTTCAGCAGAGGGCTTTCTTCTTTTCTTGGGGTTTGAGTATACAGGACCCACCCTTCCATCCTGGTTAGTGAGCCTCCAATACAGCTCTAAGAAGCCACACCCACAAGAGGCTAGACCCTTTGTCGGCCCTTCCTTCTGGGCCATGGAGTATTTTTAGCCCCGAATTCTGAAACTGCACAACAGCTGCGCCCTCAAGACGGGAATGAAGAGGCAGCACACAGCCCAAATAGGCCGTGTAAAGGGCTAGACCTCAGAGCCCGCTACCAGACCTGGCCCCCTCCGGGCCTGCTTGCTGGCTCCAGACTTTTCAGGAATGTCTGGGCCTTTGGGTAGGATGAGCATGAGGGGAAATAGCCTGTGCAAACGTCCTGTGCTCGCTAGTTTTATGTCAATTTGACACAAGCTAGACACACATCTGGGAAGACGGAATCTTGATTGAAAAGATGCCTCCAGCCAGGCGGTGGTGGCGCAGGCCTTTAATCCCAGCACTTGGGAGGCAGAGGCAGGCGGATTTCCGAGTTTAAGGCCAGCCTGGTCTACACAGTGAGTTCCAGGACAGCCAGGGCTACACAGAGAAACCCTGTCTCGGAAAAAAAAAAAAAAGAAAG